TGATATAAAATAGATACCCTTGGCTCCAGCATTTCTCCACATCCCAGCCCACTGGAGCTGCAGGTACTTTCGTATGCATACAAAACATTCTAAAATGGAAAATATTCACAGCTGCTCTCGCTGTTTTGACAGGGGGGAAGGAATCGCGGGGCATGTTAAGGAGATATTAAAAGCTGTGGTTTGAAGCTCCTAAAGCATTTACTCAGCGGGAGAGCCAGAGAAAGAAGTTTAGAAGTTAACTGCATACTTGTGTGCCTTTGCTCTGTCCTTCTTAAAATTCACCTCTCCTATCTGCTTCTAATTTAAACAAGCAGAGCCCTCCAGGAACTGGAAAATCCAGATTTGCAGCATCTCCCAGGGAAAGATGATTTCCTACGTGCTCCCCCCAGCGTGAGGGTCCTGCTGAAGGTTAAACTCGTGAGTGCCTTTGGTTTTGCACCAAGTTAATCTCCCCACAAAATAAAAGACTGGGGAAGTGCTGGTGAAAACTGCACTGATGCTACTTGCTCCCATCCCTCTTCCAGAGCCAGACGTGGATTTCACCTCTTCTGCCAGCACTGAATGCTCATCCCCACACTGTGCCCTGGCCTCCTTCAGCTTCCCTGCCTGCACACAGGGCAAACCCATCCACCTCCCCGGGGTACATTAGGGTGGCTTAAAATTAACACTCACAAATGTATTTTCAAATCCCTTCATGAAAGGCATGAGAAGCACTGGGTGTTAGCAGAATAGATCCTTCACCTTTTAACTGCTGTTAATTGCCATTAAAACCAAACCTGCACAGCTTTATTGGAGCAGCATCTGAGTTTCCGTGTCGCATGCCGCGCGTTGCGGAGCCCGTGTCCGCCCTCGGCCGTGCCCTCCTGCACGTGCCGGCTGCCAGCACGAGCTGTGGTGGAGAAATCCCATCTCACTGCTGGTTGTCTTGCACTTTGGGGCCTTTTGGAGGGTTTCCTGGTGCCAGGTTTTTTCCTTCGCCGTCCTGTGAGCCGTCGCAGCAGTTGCAAGAAGCTCAGTACACCTTCTCTCGACTCGCAGTGGGAAGGAAGATGGGATGCAAGACTTGTTCCCAAAAATACCTCGAGGAAGCAAGCAGGAGCCTGCCCTCGAGGAACTGGGTCCCTGAGGCTGAATCCAGCCCGCAGCTGCCAGCAAAAGCACGTGCTGGGTGTCACAGGGATGGGAACAGCTCTCTGTGACCAGTGTGGGGTCAATCAACAGGCAGGGCTGGGGAAAGGCTGCCAGCACTGCTCCCCTGCCATCCACCGTGCTGGGGGGTCCCTTCCCTGCTGATTTTGGGGGTTCATTGACCTGATCCCTTCCATGGCATCTCCCCACCATGCTACAGCCCAGATCTGGCAGGGGGAAACCCTTGTGGAAACACTGTGGAAGGAATTCTCCCGCTGTCCCTGAAGCCACTGGCTCCTCACATCCCTCACAGGTGCTTCGTGCGCTCCCAAACATCCAGACCCACCCTGTGCCACCAAACTGCAGGTGCTAGAACACAGGAGGAGGATTCAGCAGGGCTCTGTGGCTCCCAGCATCTTGTGAGCCCCCAGGGTTTGCTCTCCCAGCACAAGGAGGGGGTGTCCAGGGCTGGCTCCCAGGGCTATCCCATCTCTGTTCCCATCACCCAGCCCTCTGCGTGGGGGAAGGGGGCATTGGACAGGACCAGCCCTTTCTGCTCCACAAAGCTCGTCAGCCAGCAGCGCTGGGCTTATAATTATTATTTCCTTAAAGACGAGCCGAGCAGCTATAGACAAAAAAGTCCCCTCTTGTCGGAGCTGGAATTTGATGTCCTAACGACTGTTTTTGTACCGCGCCTGTTAGAGGAAAGAGCTCGGCAGGAGGGGGAAAGAGAGATTTAATTATAGAGCTGCATTGTGATTTTGCACACATAGCTGGCTGTTGTAATCAGGTTACAAGTGTATCTGATTTTCTTCCCTCCCCTCCCTCTTCCTCCTCTTTCTCTTTCTTTTCTTTTTTTTTTCTCCTCCCCCTTTTTCCTTTCGGTGGTCCAAATTAGTTGCTTATGTTTGGGTGTTGCAGAGACGAGCTGTTATTTGCTTTCAGTGAAGATCTTGATCTAGGGAACAGTGTTTCCAAAGAACCTCGGCAGCTCTTTGCTGATGGAAGGCAAAGGTTCCCAGCTCCAGCAGAAACCCAAACCCACAGAGCTGTGCTGGGCACTCTCATCCCACCCTCCCGGGGCTCCCTTCCTGCCACCAAATTAAGGGGAGACACCCATATATATATTAAAAAAAAAAAAATATATATATATATTTACATATACCTGCCTCCCCCATGCCCCCCACCAAATTCCTTCACTTCCAGGATTCCCTCAATAAATTGATGCACTTGAAGAAGAGGAGAAGCCCATTTTACCTTACCTGGGGCATGAGAAGGGAAAGAGAGGAGACAAGAACCTTTTTAAAAGAAACTTAATATTTTCCCTATCTGAGGCAAGTGATGCCGCTCTGGGATTGGGGGCTGTTGTTGGGTTCATTTAGGAATCCATTGTTGTCCATGTGAATTCTTTTTTACATTTCAAATAACAGGATTATTTCCCCAGGGGGTAATATCCTGTAATTTGAACACAATAATGGGAATAAATTACTTACTTAGAACTAATAACGACAGCCTGATTCCAATATATATAGGAACTGTAACAGCTTTGGTTAGTTAAAGTGTAATTGTGTCGACGGATGACATTTTCTTTCAAAGGAATCTGAATGACTTTTAATTAAATTTGCTGGGGGTGGGGAAGAGAAGGAGAGATGCACTGGGAGATCCGAGCTGCTGAGGCCGGGGCTGGCCCAGCCTTGGTGCCCCAAGCCCAGCTCTGCCCCAGCCTGGGTGTCAGTCCAGGTTGTGGGGTTTAAAAACCAGGCACAGAACAGAAAAGGAAACCAGCACAACCCCCCCCAGCCAGGGATGGTGGGATGGAGGGGGTGGTGGGATGAAGAGGACACTGAGGCTGGAAGGATAGAGGGGATGGAAGGATGGAGCCCAGCCCATTCCCCAGCCTGGCAGAGGGCACACAGTGCCCAGATCCTGCCCTGGGGCACCACGGAGTTGCCTCTGCCTTTGCTGGGAAGCAGAGGAGCTGATGGAGGGCAGGAGGCACCAGCAGCCAGGCAGGGCAGCTCTGCTGCTCACTCTGGAGTCACAGAATCCCAGGATGGCGTGGGTTGAAGGGAATCTTCAAGCTCATCTTGTTCCACCTCCTGCCCTGGGCAGGGACACCTTCCACTATCCCAGGTTGCTCCAAGCCCTGGCCTTGGACACTTCCAGGGATCCAGGGGCAGCCACAGCTTCTCTGGGCACTCTGTGCCAGGGCCTCCCCACCCTCACAGAGAGGAATTCCTTCCTTATATTCAATATAATGAATTTCTTCCTTATATTCTATATTCAATCTAACTCTGCCCTCTGGCAGTGGGAAGCCATTCCCCTTTGTCCTGTTACTCAATGCCCTTATCCAAAGTCCCTCCCCAGCTCTCTTGGATCCCCTTTAGGCACTGGAAGGGGCTCTAAAATCTCCCTGGAGCCTTCTCCTCTCCGAGCTGAACACCCCCAACCCAACACTGTTACCTGAGCCCAAGGGTTCTCCAGGGAAGGCAGCTCTGACCCAGGGCACCTGCAGCAGCAGCTGTGCATCCCAGCTCCTCGCCCTCAGCCCAAAAGTGCCCTGCAAGCCCCGGGCTCTGCACATCTCCTCAGTGCTGCCCTCAGTGCTCCTCAGGTTCATTCCTAAATCAGCAGCACACGAGGTTCCCTTCAGAGGCAGGAAAAAAAACCTGCAGTGTGCAGAAAGCCAAGTTCCTGCCCCGAAATAATCTTGGAGAGGAGCAGCGTGCTGCTGCCAGTGGCTCCAGCCTCCTCCAGGACTCATTTTCCTCTGTTTATCTTGAAAATATTTCTGTGCTGAGGTCCCACCCCGCGCGGCGGAGCCCTGCGAGGCCGCCTTCAGCCTGACACACGGCCTCTTGTTTATCCACAGCCAGTTTTACAAATAGCTTATTAAGCCCAGAGGTCTGTTTGCTGGAGGAAAACCTCACAGAGCAGCTCCCGCAGCCCCTCCCGAGGCTCCTGCCAGCTGTGCCCCCTCCCAAACCCCCTCTGATGTGCATCCAGGGGCTCAGACATCAGTGTCTGCCGGGTTTGGGAATCGCTCCTGCTCTGATAAAACAACCAGAGTGCTGCTGCTGGGTCTCCCAGCCCTCTCACCCTCTCCCTGTTCCCAGGCTGATGTCCCAGATGGGATTTTGGCATGGCACAGGGATGCTGTGGCACTGCCAGCTTGGTTTATGTGATCCCCCAGCAGAGCTGCTGGGAAGTTTTTGCCTTTTGCAAGACCCCTCTGCAAGGGCTGCTGGTTTTGGGGGGATTGAAGTGGTTTGAGTTGCTAGAAGAATATTTTGAGGGTTGCAGAAAACACATCCAAAGCCATTAGAGATGAGGACAGTTGGATGCTGTGTAGGGTGGTCCTGGCAGGAGCCCAGTGGGACCCTGGGCCCTGGGATGCCCAGGAGGGAGCTGGGATGGGGGGCTCAGCCCACAGCAAATGATCAGGGATGTCCCACTGGGCTGCAGCCTGAGCACAGGCACCTCTCTGACCACAGGGACCATCAAACCCATGCCCAAGCACCTCTGTCCCTGCTGCCACCGCTGTCCTGGGCAGGAGCCTGGCTGTGCCCAAGACCCCCCAGAGCATCACTCCTGGAGCACACGGCCAGGCAGAGCCCTGTAACTCAGCAACATTCACAGCCCAGCTGAGGAGATTGAGTTACCTGCCCTGCAAGAATAAAGGAGGCATTCAGCCATTTTTTTTAAAGTCTTTTCCCCTGCCAGGGCCAGACACGGCGGGGACGGTGGCGCACAGAGGCAGGGAAACACGAGCCCCTCTCCTCTCCCTCCGAGGTGACCCCAATCTGCCCCACATCCCCTGCTTCCCCGACCCTTTAACACCCAGGGAAGCACATGCTTTGCTCACCCGTCACGAGCTGCCTTATCTTTTAATAAAACCTTTAAGAGCAGAAGTCAGGCAATGCCGGCACAAAGGCAGCCCAGCCTCCTCCCGGGACATTAATCATTTTCTTTGACACGTTTTGCTAATTAGCCAAAGCGTTTGCCTCGACAGGGGAGAAACTGGGGCCTGGGAAAAAAAAAGAAAAGAAAAAAAAAGAGGAAAAAAATATATTAGAAGAAGGGGGAAAGGGAGGAAGAAATGGGAGAAGGAGCTGACATCACCCCTGTGTGATCCGGCATCCCTGGGCATCACCTTGCTGGGAGGAAACCCAGTCCCAAGCCCATCCCAAGGATTTGGGAGCACCATAAACTGCAATACACATTTTACCTTCCCCATCCCACTCCTGGTTACCCCAATAGTGCAGATTGCAGCCGTGAAGGGTTCTTTGAAATGCCCTGTTTGGAGGTTTAACTCATGGCTTTATCTCTTACACGGCTGTTAATCCTCAGGACACATGTTTCCTATCAGCCCCGATATTTAACATAAAACAAGTGTCTTATTAAATCCCAGCGACTGGCTCCATGCAGACCTCTCCCCCCAGGACCTGTCCTGAGGACATCCCAAAGGCAGATGGGGCACCCCGGCTTGGGCACACATTTGGGGTGTAGAGTTTGTTATAATCCTCAGGAGAGTGGGGTGAAGGCTCCTCTGCACAGGAATTCAGCATTTAAATTGGCTGAGCAGCCACCTCTCCCACACATGAGGAAGCCCCTCACAATTTTAAAAAATATGTTATTTTAAGGGTTTCCTGGCAATGCTGGGGTGGCCAGTGAGCCCATCTGAGGCAGGATTAGCTACTGCCTCAGCATGGCTTCCTTGGCTGAGTCCAGCTCGGTTTTCATAGGACTTGGTGTTTTCTGGGGGAGAGATCCATAGAGAGAGCAACTCGCAGTGAATTCTCTCTAATCCACAGCATTCAAAATAAAAAAATCCCAAGGAGAAAGCAATGCCTGCTCATCCCTCCCTCCAGCCCAGCATGGCAAAATACTGGCTCCTGTCCCATCCCTGAACATCAGCCCTCCACCCCGACTCCTTAGGGAAGGGCAAGGCACAAAACCACACGGCACAATCCCCTTTTCTCCACAAAACCAAGGGTAAGAACAACAAAACTGGGTGGTACAGCCCCTCACATGGTGTAAGGACAGCCCCCTGCCCACAGCAACTGTCCCATCCCCATCCATGGGTACAAGGGAGCAGGAGCAGCGTCCCAGAGCCACGTCAGTCCTTTGGGGAGTGTTAAAAAAACAAATCACAGCTCTTTGCTCCTCTCCAGCACAAGTTTCTCATTGCTGCGGGATGACACACACCACCTCCTCCAAAACAAGGCTCTGTGTTATTATTCTGTTTCTAATTTGGGGGTTGGAAATGATTTTCCACGCCAGATTCCAAACTAAACCAGCACCCCCCCAAAAAAAATTGCTAATGTGCTTTCCAGAGAGCAGTGGCACGGTCAGTGCTCCGTGAGGAAAGGGTGAAGGTGTGGCACACAGCAGTGAGCACCACAGAACATCCCTCTCAATGCCTATTTCCAAGAAAAAACCTTTTAAAAGAGCCAATTCAGTGAAATACAGAACTGGCCCAGACTCCAGCTGCAGCCGGGTCTGGGATGGGCCGGTCCCACTGGGAAAGGGCCGTGCTCCATCTCTGCCCTCTGAAGGACTTGGACAAAAAGCAGTGAAAGGTGAGAATTTGGGAAGCAGTGCGATGCTGGGAATTCAGTGGGAATCAGCATCATTCCCATTCTGAGTGTTTTAACCCAAATCTACCAATGGATCCTGCTTGCATCCTACGAGGCATCAAGAAGCCAAGCCACACAGTGAGGTCTCACTTCTCTGTGTCCTGCCTGGCCTTGGGGACAATGGGGACAAGCCTGGATGAGTCCCCAGCCCCATCAGCCCAGATTGTGCCACAAACCTTGTGGAAAGATTTGGGGGGCCCCGTGCAGCCGGCGGTGCTGGCAGGAGTGTGGAGACCAACGCGCGAGGAGCCGGTGGAAACCCTCCAAGCTTCCAACGCCGTTGTATAAGAGCCACTCAAAAATACTAATCCCCAAAAAATTCAGCGCTGGGAGCGTGACCAGGCTGCCTCCCAGGCAGCTGATGGAGCGTGGCTTGCACAGCCAGCCCTGCACACATCCAGGGAAAATGCCTTCAGGTGAGCGAGCTCCGCGGGAATGTCGGGATCCCGGAGGTTTCCATACCAATGATCCTTTAAAGAAAAGACAGACAAGCAAGGCAGGGAGGCAGGATCACCCGACATGCCGAGTGCTGCTGCAAAACAAGTGGTTTTTCCATGAGTCACCAGTGGAAAGAGCAGATCAGGCGTCCCATGGGTGGGCTTGGCCAGAGCCGGCTCCGCATCCCCGGGAGGATGCTGAGGGTGCAGCCCCTCCGTGCCCTGCTCTCAGCTCTCCCAGGGCTGCTTTGGGGTCACGCTGGGGTGGCTCCCATGGAATCCCCAAGCGCCTGAGCGCCTCGGGATGCAGGGTTTTCCCAATCCTCCTTTCCCCAGCCACTGACATTCCCCATGGAGACAAAGGTGTGACCTTCACTGTGACCTCGGTGCCGCTTCACTGCTCTGCCGCTGTCCCCTGAAACCCTCCTGAGGCAGGCAGAAACAAAAATACAGCAAGAAACGTGCAAGGAGCGCCCCGAAACAAACGGGTGTGGTTTGTTGGTGGTGGGAAAGGGGGGAGGGTGATGACAGGCAGCTCAGGAAATCCCTGGGATCGTAAATCCCATCGGGAGTGCACAAAGCCAGCTTGGCTCCTTCCACGGCTGGGTGGGAGGTTATGGGCAGGGCAGTAAAGTTTAGGGAATCTGGGGTGTTTTGGTGCATAAAAAGGTGGTGATGATGGAGAGGTGACACCCGGGCAGCACCCAGGGCAGGGGGTCCCAGGAAGGGCTGGGGTCACATCCTGGGGAGGGCTGGAGCTCCATCATCATCATCATCAGCCGCAGGACAGCAGCGACCCTGGCTGTGCTCTGGGTACACAAACGGCACGTACTTGCTGCTGGCCGGCTTTCCTGGCAGTCCCAGGCAGGATTTGGCTGCGCAGGAATTTGGAAGCTGCCTTAAATCCAGAAAGAAATGAGGAAAGGCTGGGAGCGACTTTCCGAGCAGAGCTCAGCTGCAAATCCCCGCTCGCAGCCGCCCCTCCCGATGCCCTGCAGGGGAAGGAGGTCGGACACTGCCGGGAATCTCCTCCTCCTCCTCCCTGGGGACATCGAGGAAGGAGGAGCAGCACCTTCCACAGCACCTTCCACACCTTCTCCTCCCTCTTCCCAAAACACCTCCTGGGCCACGATGCCCCTCAGCACCCAGCCCTGCTCCTCACCTCAGCCCGCTGTGGTGACCCAGTGATGGATTGTGCTGCTGTGAACTCCATCAATCCCCTGCCCTCAGCCCCAGGGCTGCTCTGTCCCCGAGGATGCCATGGCTCAGCCAGGGGCTGACACCAGGCTTCACTGTCATACTGCTCCTCTGGGGGGAATTGGGAGGGAAGGGATGGAAAAGAGACAAGAGGTGCTGAGTGCTCTAAAAATCAACAGCAAAAACGCAGGGAAATTCAAATTCTCCCCAAAGTCCCCTCTGGGTGCTCAGGAAGGTGCTTCCCTACCTCTGGCTGTCCTCATCCAGGGTTGGTGCTGGGGTCATTTCAGCCCCACACCCTTCAGGAGCCCAGCTCTGGCTCTCCACACATTGGCAGGGATTTGTCTGCTTCATGCTGGCTCGTTGCATTTGTGGGAAACTCAAGAGTTTCTTAGGAAAAACAAGCCCAGAGGTGTTCCTCAGCTTCCCCAGTGACACCCCGGGGTGGGGAGGGTCCTGGTGATGGATGGTACCCAACCCTGCATCACCAAAATCCAGGCTGCACCTTTTCCTGCAGGAGGAACAGCCAAGCACTTTCCACCCCAGTGATTTTTTTTATCTCGTTCAAGAGAACATTTTTAATTAGTGATGCACTCACCCTGCACACTTTCTGTGCAAACACAGCCTCTCCATGGTGGTTGAAATGGACTGAACTCTCACACCTCCCCTAAAGCATGCACTGGGAAAAGCAGCAAGCCCTGATGCTCAGAGGGAAGGGGAAGCCCAGGTGCTGGAGACAGGATTTCTGCAGGAGTAAATACACTCAGGATAGCCCCAAACCCATCAGCTCTGTGTTCCCCAGCTCCCTCCTCATTCAGGGACAGGCATCAACACAGGGAATCCATGCCACAACCCCTCCAGCTCCCTATATTTGCCCTAAAGGGATTTTCCTGCCTTTTTTCCCTGGCTCAAGCACCATCCTTTGCTACAGCACCTGGGGCACGACTAACATTGTTCAATATCTTAGCTAGATTTTATATATTAATCTTTTAACTCCCAAACTGGAGGTTGCAGGGGAAAAATCAAGTCTGGTGGGAATGGGGTCCCAGCCACAGCACTCCCTGGTTTTCAAGCATCTCATTTGGCTTCTTGAGCCTCATTTTGGGGAGCAAACAGCTTTTCCATACTGGGCTGTGTCTTGTGCTGCCTCTCCCTGATGAAGAAGCCCTTGGATATTGTGGAAAGAGCTCAGTTCTGCTTTGGTGAAAAGCTGCTTTCTCAAAAAACCTCAAAAGCAACCTCCTGTAGGAAAAATAGATGGTTTGGGATGACCAGGAGTGTTCATCAGGGATTCAGGGCCGGATTTTCCCCCCTCACCCACCCCAATGTGCCCATCAGCCCCCCCAAAAAAGCCACTTTTGCTCATTGCTAATAACTCCCTGCAAAGAGGGGAGGGAAGAAAATTCCCTCCGTGCTCTCACTTATGCAGAGACAAGGAAATGTCGTTTAACTAAACCAAACAAACGAATCCGGAGGCAAAGAGAAAAAAAAATCACATTATCCCCAATCATAAATCCTGGAGAGGGGTATTTACAGGCTGAATTGCCAAGTGCATTGGAGCTGCAGAGCATCCGAAGAGCAGATAGCCATAAAGGCAGACAACGGCCCTGGAAAAATGCTTTGATTAGGATCTGGGCAGCATTCAGCCCAGATGTTCATTTGTCAATGGAAGAGGGATGGGGGGGAGGTGAGAAAGGCTTTAAATTAATCTTTACAACTAGAAAGGAGCTTGTAATACACACCATATGGGGAGCAACGTCCTTGGAGCCCCCTCTCCTCCCCCAGCCCGGCGTGCTCGGGGCCAGGCTGGGACCCCGTGGCCAGAGCCTGTCCCCCCTGTCCCCCCCTCCCCGTTTTCTCCATGCACCAAACACCCCGCGAGCCCAAACCCCTTCCACATGTGCTTTATTCTTCACTGTGAACAAAACAAACTGCAATTCCTCTTGCAACACCAGATCTCTTTTATTATTCCCCCCCCTCCCCACTCCCGACCCTGTACCTGCTCCCCTCTCCCTCCAACATCCACATGTGGGGTTTTTTTAACCCTTCCGAGCTGCCAGCAGTGCTGAGGTGGGGGCTGTGTGTGGAGAGGAGGGACGAGGCTGTTTATTAAACGCCAACCATTCAAATTAATTCCCCTAATGGACTCACCAGCATCATGGTGTGCATTTAAATGAACGCTTTGTCATATTTCATAGCCAACCTGCAGCTCTCTGCAGAGCAAACCTGCTGGAAAGCCAGCAACAGCAGCAGTGACAGGGACAAACCTACAGAGAGATAAATGAGAATGAAATACAAATCCCCAACGCAACATGGAGGGGGAGAACAGAGAGCCCAGGAACCCAGGAAGCCACTGGAAATTTGGAGGTGCAAGTGAGACCCCAGACAGGGCAGCAGGAGCTGTGTGGTGGCACTGGGAGCTGCTTTTCCACATGGGAGCAGGAAAAATCCTCTTGCTGCTGGGGCAGGAGGCACCAGAGACCTTTAGCTGGGATGGGGCACCCTTGGCCAGGTGAGGAGTCTGGGCTGTGCGTGCTCCACTGAAGCCCTGGGGAGCCCCAGCACCCCCAGCTCAGCCAGAGACCCAGCGAGGAGGGAAACCCTCTCCATCCTGCATCCCCCTGGAGCAGTGTGGGGATGAGGGTGGAGGAGCCTGAGCATCCCTGCTCACAGCACAGGCTGGGATGCTCAAACCCAGCCCCAGCTCCTGGCACAGCATCCCTGCTGCTCCTGAGTAAACAATCCATCCCCCCAGCACCCTGGGACAGCCACAGGTTCCTCACCTTGGCTTCAGCTTCAAGAGCTCCTGGTCCTTTCATCAGCCAGATGGGAAATTGGTGTGTGCACACAGCCCCAGGTGCAGCACCAGGTACCTCCTGCCCTCTGGCTCCTTTTCTGCCCCCACCTTTAAGAGCTGCAGCAGAGATTTCGTTCCACCTTTGAGGGTCCTTCTCCTTTTCTCCATCCTGCCCCAGGCAGCTTCTGTGGGATCTGGAGGATGAGGAGGGGCTGGGGGAAATATTCCTGCCCCACTGGCATGACCAGGGGTTTTCAGACCCCACGAGGGCCAAGGGAAAGGGAATTTTCCTGGCTCAGGACAGGGATGAAGGCAGCAGCCCCAGCCCATGCTGGGCACAGGCAGGAGAGCAGAGGGAGCAGTGAATGCTGCTCAGGGGAATGCAGCCAGGTCTGCCCCATCCCTCCAGCCCCACTGCAGGCTAGAGATCCCGGAATTGACCAAAAAAGCAAAAATCATTGACTCCCAGAAGGAAGGGATCCCAAAGGTCATCTCATCCCCCCCCTGCCATGGGCAGGGACACCTTCCGCTGTCCCAGGCTGCTCCAAGCCCCATCCCAAGTGGCCTTGGACACTTCCAGGGATCCAGGGGCAGCCACAGCTTCTCTGGGAATGTGTGCCAGGGCCTCACCTCCATCACAGGGAAGAATTTCTTCCTAAAATCTAATCTAATCCAGCACTGTTTGCAGAAGGTTCTCATTTAGGGAAACATCTGGAGTCAGCACTTCTCCCCCAAAGGGCAGCGGAGGGTTCAGAGGACACCAGCCCTCGTGCTGGGGAGGAAGAGGAGGAGGAAGGAGCCCATTTTCCTCATCCCCCAAGGAAGGGACACGACCTGTTAGTGCTTGGTGTCTGTTACCTGGCCTCGAGTGAGCAAGGCAGCAGCCCCTGGAACCCCAGCCAGGAGAGCTGCCCCAGAGCCACGGGGGCCAAGCGAGGGCTGGCAATGCCCAGGGTCCTCCCAGCATGGGGACAGCCAGGTTTGGCTGAAGGACCCGGGGACACGAGGGGACAGGAGGAGCAGGGATGCTTCTGGTCCCCTGGGCTGTGGGTGTGGGGGAAATGGCTCAGAGAGGAACATGGCTGGTGCCACAGCACAGCCAGGGGATGTCACCTCCTTTTTCCAGGTCCTTCTGAGCCTTATTCCAGATTCCCATGGCCCCAGAGCAGGAGCAATTCCTGGGCTGCAAACAGAGCCCTTCCTTCCAGGCTGGGATCACAGGTGAGGAAAAGTCCTGTCCCATCCCATCCCATCCCCATCCCATCCCAGGCAGGTCCCCAGGAGCTGGCAGGGCCATTGGGGCTCTCCAGACCCAATCCATGCTCATCCTCCCACTCAGAACCTCCAACCACCTCCAGGGAAAGCCTCCTTTGCCTCGGCCAGGGGAGGGGCAGCACCCCCAGCCCTGTGGGAGGGGTCCTGGGGGGGTCTTGCTGCTCCTGAGGAGACCAAAAACCTGAAAAACCTGCATTAAAGGAGAAAATGCACAAATTAGGAGTGGGGGGCAGGGACTGGAGGGGGGGGGGGAGTTGTTTATCTAGAGCTGATTTTGATTTTCCTCTTTCAAATATCAGCAGGATGCTGAGCCTCGCCTCGTTATGCAAATAGAAGCAATTAGAGCTCACCCAGGCTCTGCCCACGTGATGGTTTATGGCACTCGCAGAAATCCTTCCCGCTGCATGAGAGGAATAACAACAGCTCCCCGTGCCTGCTCCAGCCCTGCCAGGGCCAGGGACATGGAGAGGGAGCCCCAGAGCTGGGACAGCTCCCCCAGCAGCACCCCGGGCCTCCCAAAGCTCTCTGAGCAGGATTTTCCAAAGGGTCTCTTCCATGGATACACCAACCCTGCCACCAGCAAGCCTCACCAGCTCCTGGGATGTGAGAGGAGGAGGAGGAGGGATGGAGGGGAAAGCATCACCCCAGAGCCTTTTTCCCCACCAAGCCACAAAGCCAGCCCCCAGCAGGGCACTGCTTCCCTTTGGCACTGGGTCCCAGTGGATGAGCTTTGCTGAGCTCCAGCAGGAAGAGGCAAAGCAAAACGTCCCAAATTCCCTGCCCTGGGTGGAGAAAGCTCAGGAAAGGCACCCCCACCTTGGCAGCAGCAGGAGGTGGTGGTGGCTCCATCCCCTTCCAGCACTTCGCCTCCCCAGGGGACCTGGGGACCTCCTCACCTGCAGGAGCAGACACGGAGTGCAAACCAGCCTGGCTGCCATCAATCCATCATCTCCCTCCTGATTTACACCCAGGTAGCCAGGAGGATTTACTCCCAGTACCTGCCTTGAGCTTCCCATCCCCAGAGGAGCACAGGGAAAAGCAAAAAAAAAAAAAAACAGGGTCTTTCAAAATTGTTTTTGCTCCTAAATCTCTTTTTTTTTTTTTTTTTTCCTTCTCCTTTGGATGCAAATGGAGATTGATGAGCCCAGGCCAGCAGCTCCTCACCTCTGAGGGTCATTTCTCTGTGTTTCCCGGGGGGAGCAGTGGGCAGTGGGATCCCACAAGCCCACAGAGGCCATCACCCCCCATCCATGGGCAGGAGGGAGCTCCCAGCTCAGCCCAGAGGAATCTGCTGCAGTGTGGGATGAGGAGCATCCTCATGGGGGGAGCAGGGTGAAGGACACCTCCAGGGACCATTTCACAGAGATATGACATTCGAGACAGGAAATCTCAGCCTGTATCCCTGCTCTGGCTCCATCCCTGCGTCAGCAGCTCTTTCCAGGGCTTGCAGGTGGGAAGATCAGCCAGGAGCCTTTTCCACCTCCTCAAACCAAAGATTCTCCATCCCACAGGGGGAGGCAGAGCGTGATGGCCACGGAGAGATGGAATTCTGCAGCCACAGATGATTTGGGAGCAAGACCCTCCTACCCAGCCTGAAGGGCCCCCAAAGCTTTAGGAATTGCCCAGGCGTGCAGCAGGAGCAGCAGGGAGCTGGGAAAGGGCTGAGGCAGCACCCGGAGTCACCCCAGCCAGGCCATCCGTCAGGCAAAGGTTGGGAAGGAGCTTTTCCTCCGTAGCAGGGGCAGGGCAAATAATTCCTAGCAGCTAAATAATTCAGCAGGAGTTCAGCCGTGCTCTGCCTGTGAGCCCTCAGCAATTATCCCGAATTTATTCGCCGTCCTGAATTTTTAGGTGAATTATTCAGACAAGAGGTTGCTGGGCTGAGGAAAAGCCTGGGGAAAGGAGGAGATACCTGAAACAACAGGAGAAATGCTGGTCCCTTCCCAGCCAAGAGCCCCTGGACATCCCTGTGCTTTCTGCTCCCTTGCAGCCAATTCCTCTGCTCGAGGAAGAGGAGATGGAGGAGAGAGCACGAGCAGGATGAATTCAGATTTCTGTGTGGATGAGCATCTCCCAAATTGCTTTAATGAGGCATCTCCCTGCTTGTCCCAGCTCCTCCACAGCCACAAACCCACGTGGTGGGGACACCCGCAGGTGTCTTAACTCATCTGGAGTCATCAGCCAAGGGCTTGGCCCCCACTACCTGCAGTGAAGACACACAGAGATGGGCTTTGCAGGGAAAAAATACCAAAACAGTCAATTCAAGGAAAAAAAAAAGT